CGGGTGTCTCAGCCACTCCCGCAGTGGGCCACTGCCTGGCGAAGAGCACGGACGGGAGCTGGCACAGCTGTCCCTCCTGTCCTCCCTTCTCAGGGGACCTCACAGGGGCACGTCCCTCCCTAGCCTCCCTCCTCAGAGCCCTGAGAACCAGCACTCAGCCCAGCTCCCCCGAACGCAGAGAAGCCCAGGCTCTGTGTGGGGAGGCCTGACCAGTGGCGTGACCTGGGACCCACTGAAGCGCAGGCCACAGCCGCGGCTTGCCGGGAAGTGCAGTGCGCCTCTTCCTGCACCCCCGGGTCCTTGCATCCCTGTTAGGGAGAGACGCCAAATGGCTTTACTTTCAGACTCACTAGCCTGTGCCAGCTTGTCATGAACTCTGCAGTTCCTTGCAGGAAAGCGGGAGGAGTAAAAGGTGAAAGAACATGACCTCGCTGGTCCCAGGGGGTCCGCGGGAAACGGAGGGGGGATCTCTCTTCCAACCTGCTCGTCAGTGCTTTCGGGGTTTCTTCTCTGAGCTCCGTTTCCTCCTCTCCTTCCGCCACTCACGGGGAAATTCACAAACGTGCAGAACAGCTTCTTTGGAACAGTGTCAGCAGCCAGGGTTGACACAGCCACCCCAGAGGTGGTGTGCGGAGGGCGGCGTTGAGGTCAGGCGGAGTCTCGGGGAACCGGGCGGGGAGGATTGCTCACAGGCTGTGGAGCAGCTGGGTCATAGCCTGTCCGGGAGGAGAAAGAGGAGGGGATGGTTTAGTACCCTTGGCTGCCTTACGGGGTAACTCTAGCGGGGGCGGGCCTCCAGCGCAGACGGCCCACAGTGCATGGGGGCATCTGCTGAGGACGGGTCTTTGGAAGGCTGCACCCTGGTAGCCAGGGGCCCCCTAATGCCACTGGGTCTTATGGGTTGTCTCCTGAAACACCTCTTCAGGGGTAGATTCGGAAGCGTAGATGCTGCCTCCACCTCTCTGGCTGCCAGGAGGCTTTACCTTGGTCCCCAGGGGTGGCACCGTGTCTCAGGGTATGCCCAGGCCATCCCCGGGGACTTGACCTGTTGTGCTGGCCCCAGCAGTAGGACATGAGGGCCAGTGTGGACCGACACGAAGCGGGACTTTCTGGTGAGGCTGCGCTGATGTGGGGAGGAGCCCTGGGCTTGAATCAAGGAGCCTCTTAGCTCTGGGGCCTTGGGCATGCAGATCCTTACGCTGGCAAAAAGGAGAAAAAGAAAGGAGGGCGTGATGCCCACCACACACGCTGTTAGAGGGTGCTATTAGACGTCTGTGGGAGAAAGTGTGAGAGAAACCCCCCCGAGAGCCAGCGCTGGCACCTCATGCCGCACTGGTGGAGAACAGGACAGGACTGGCGAGCCCGGACCCACAAGGCTTGTGTGGGGCAAGCCAGCTTCACGTGGCCTCTGGTCTGCTAGTGTAGGGGTGCCCAGTCGGAGCCGGCTTGCCCTGAGTACCAGTTCCAAAGAGCAGGCGGGTGCCCCAGCTGACGTGCTAGGACAGGAAGCGCCGGCGCTGGAGGAGGGGCCTGTGCTGCCGGAGCGCAGCCCCATGGGGTGGGCGCAGGCTCCCGGCTCCCAGGCCGGGTCTGGCTCCTACGCGCTCCTGCGAGGGTGACAGTGGTCAGGTTGTTGAGCAGCAGAGCTGCTGGGGCTTGGACGCTCATTTGGTGCCTCTGACCTGGGGATGCTGACGTGGGAGGGGGCGCGTGTCCCCGGAACAGCCCTCACCACCTGGTCCCAGGAGGAGAGGGAACGGGCCTGCCATGTTCATGAGGCCCAGTCCGAGCAGCAGCCAGGCCCAGGGAGGTCGGGTGAGGAGGAAGGGGGAGCGCCGTGCACAGAGCCCACCTTGCAGAGGAAGAGTGGTCCAGGGCACCTGCCATTTGCCTTGAACCTCGAGGAATTCCCCAAAGACACAGTAAAGCCACAGTTGTATTGGAGCCGAGGTTATTAATCCGTGAAGGACCCACACGCTGGAGGAAGGAGCACCCCAGAGCTGCGTTCCATGGTGGTGGGTCTGAAGCTGGGTGTGCCTGGCAGGAACACGTGTCCACTCTGACAGTGAGCAAGGCCAGGGCTCTGGACAGACAGGGCCGCGAACCAGCTCGTGGCCCTGAGCACGCGTTAGGCATAGCAACCAGAGAAAGAGAGAGAGTGAGAGAAAGCAGTTCACCAGGTCCTGGACTTGAACTGCTGTTGGCCTCATGGGAGTTCAGCACCTTAACCGCCATGCCACCTGCTGGCCCTCCACACTGGAGTTTACAGGTGAAGGGAGCATAAGGGACCGGGCCAGGGGGACGTTCTGGAGTGAGCAGGTCTTCCGTAGGTCAGGGATGAGAGCCAGGAGAGGAGGCACTGGGAGGTCCAGGACCGTCCCGCCAGGTGTGGCTACGACTCTGGCCCTCGCTGAGGCGGTGATTGCAGCGCATAAAGGGTCCCGCATCCATGCACTCGCTCGCGTGAACCACAGGGCCAGGCTCCAGAAATGCGAAGGCCAGTAACCGTCTGTGCCCATTCGCTCACCGCGGGGTCCCACTGGCCCTCCACACCCCACAGCGTGGCGGGGCTCACCGCGATCCCGGTTTCGCACACGAGGAGACCTCCCGCTCCTCACTAGTGGGAGGCAGGGGCAGAACAGGAGCCAGCAGTGGGGTGCCAGGACGCTGCAGGAGGCGGAGTGTGGGGCCTTCTTACGTGCTCAGATAAGATACGGGTATGGAATTTGCGTGGGAGTGACTTCTGAGGGCAAGAGAGTGTGGGGACAGGGCGACGGCAGGCTCCGGCCTCTCGCCAGTTCTCCACCTACGGCCACTCTCCTAAGCACCAGGGATCTATCGTCCGGGGAAACCCGAGCCTGGCAAAATCAGCGCTGGCTGTTCCTGCGAAGACGGCGGAAGTTCACCTTCCCAGGTAGAGATGCATTCTGCCTGCACACCTGCCAGACGAAATCTGCCCAATCGATAAGGGACTTCCGCAGTTGGGGCACGTGTGTGTGTGCGCGCACGTGGAAGACATCTTAGAGTAATGTTCGTGGACTCGGGAGTCGGACTGAACGATTTTCAGGATGCGGCCACCTCCACTGCCTTTAGGCGGCTCGTGTAGACTCTCAAGCCCGGTTTCTACATCCACGCTGACAACTCCCCAGGACTGTCGCGAGGAGTGAGATGATGTATGCAGCGACCGGCTGCGTGTCCTGAGAGGGGCTGCTTCACCTCCCTGAGCCTCGGCTTCCTCGTGCGTGAAGAGGCCGTGGTGCCGGGAAGCTGCCTTTGGGCCCACCCCACAGGCCTGCTGTGAGGATTCAAACGAGCAATGCGTGTACAGCACGGCGCCTGGCCGCGGAAGTCCTTGAAAAACTTCAGTCATGGCTACTGTGACTGCTCCATGGAACCTGCGACGGGTGGAGACAAAGGTCACACAGGCGGTAAATTAAAACCGGAGCTGAAATTGCATGGCTACAGCCACACCC